GGAGGTAACACATCAAAAACCTACATACCTGAGTAGCTGCCAGCAGTAATGGAAAGTGTGATCCGACAACGGTATGGGCCATATTACTAAAGGATGGTTGATAAGGTGGACACACACTGTGACAGTGAGGCATATGTTGCTGCCACGTCAAGGACAACATTTCTAACACCTTTAATTAACTACGACTGGTGTTAATGAATTTCACAAGAAAAATATTACATGGTCGCTTCTTAGCCACCCACGCTCCAAGCAAACAGAAGCAGAACTGGCCCCTCTACCTCAGCGTGAAAGGAGTCAAAGCAGACAGATTGCTCAGTGACTGGAAGAGGAGGCTTGCCTCACACTGCTGCACCTGCTGGGTTGCAGCTTTTTGCCCTCTTTTCAACCCATACTTAAATGTTCATGTCTTGAGGGAGACAAAATTCCCTGGTCAACAGCACTTCACAAATTCCTACTGAGGCATCGCTGGGCATTTATTTTCATATTTGACAAAAAGAAAAAAGAAAAATCACAACTCCCCTTATAAAAAACATTAGGAATTGACTATTTCCATCCAATTACTGACCAATCAAGGCAAAATATTTCATGTTTGTATACGGTAACTTGTAACATTATAAAGAGCATGAAAATAGGATGAAAAATGTAACTGAGTTTAAACTTTTAGGTTTAATAGTCCATAAATTCAATCTCCTTTTCTAAAATCAAAATATTTGTAGTAAATGCATACTAAAATAAATCTACATCAGATGTTTCCACAGCTTCTGTAATCATTAGTCATCTGCAAAGCTCAAACTAAGTTTTTATAAGACCATTTCTGAAATCGGATTGGCCGTTTCTCTTTGTGGTTTTGAAACAGAAATACTTTTCAACTTTATTTCTACTAACCTACTGGTAACTATGTCTGCTCTCATAACAGCCTAAGAGTATCCCTACCCTATAGGCCCGGTCTATTATCCTCCCTGAAGGTTAGAGTTTTAGGTTTTCATACTGTAGCATCACACACCCCCACATCCTTTGTGTCCCACTACACAGAAAAGAAACCTTTAATAAGCCGAGCTGCTGCACATTAATCACTAGCAAGAGGGCTTAAGCTGCTGGATCCTATATCTTTTTGAATAGCAGGTATGGGAGGACAGCACAGATCTCAGATTGATTTTCACAAAGAGCAGCCAGAGATTCAGAGAAACTGGAAGCCAAGGTAATATTGGATCAAAGCTGCACTGATCGAGCACATAAGGTGAATCAAATTGATGCAGCTCAGCTCTGCTGTGACAGTTTTTCAAACAGAGGCATTAGCAGCTAATAGGTACGCTGGGACATGTCGCATCCCCGTGACACACTTTACACATGGCCGCAGAAGGGAGCAAAACGTTATCGGTCTGGATTCATCACATTTTTCTCAACACTGTTCGGATCAGCACAGACACCCGAGCCCATTACAAAACGCGGCTGAAAAACCTTGAGCTGCGTGGCGCTTCAGGCAACGCAGCTCCCCAGTGACCAGCTGCACTGTCCTTGTCAGCTTCTTAAACAACAAAATAACCTCCAGAATAATTCAATTGTTACGCTTGCAGCCGGAAAATCCTCAAACAGCTGTTACAATAAAAATGCCATTTCCCTCTAGCGAAAAGCATTTCACAAACAATAGACAAATATTTGTCCATAGTGTCAGGGGAGAGTTTACCTCATTCTACTCTTCTATTGAGTCTCTATCCACCACTATGAGTAACAGTTTGTTATAATGCAGAAGTAAAACAAAGGGAATATGTAACATCCTAAATACTGACTCAGTTCGGAAAATCAAATCCTAGCTTCAATCAGTCTTTTGTCAAAGTGAACCCCCTAAATATTCTGAACAAGCCACTCCCTTTCTCTGTCTGCAATTATCAAGTATTTCCTTCTAGCCAATTCCTTCTGATTTGCTTTTTTCTAACACTTGAAACAGTTTTGAGTATTAAAAAAGATAACCTGAATGCAAACAAATAAAACAGCTTAAAAATATTGTTGCATCAAATAATGGGAAAAACACTCTCTGCAATAACAAAGAGCCAGGCTGCACTATCTTAGGCCGTGTCAAAGGTGCCAAAAGACATTTTGAATTATATCATAGACTTTTTGAAGTGTCTATCCTGTTAACAATCAAACTGTATGTGTTTAAATAAAAATAAATATAATACGAAAAAAATTGTCCTTCATAGACAACTGGGCCAAAATTCTTTAGATGACTAATGAAAACGAGAGACACTACTTAATTAGAGTTTCACTCAGATATTCTGACACCTATCCAGGAGTCTTTGTCAATCTGTTGACTTTTTTCAGTTTTACTGAATCTTACTTTTAGTTATTCTTGAATAAAAATATAAGGAAGTAGTGTTACTCCAGAGTAAAATTTCTTTTCACTCCACCAATATTACTAACTTTACTCAATAAAGAACCTATTTTAAAATAACCTAAGAAACGCACCCTCATTTTGTTTAAAGTGAAACATCCTTAGACTATACTTATACTATAAGTTTTTTTTATTTTATTTTATTCTTTAAAACACCAGAATTAAAATATCTTTAATACTATATATATTTTTTATGTATCAAATTGAATGTTATCATTAGTTAGTAGTTGAGTAACCTTTTTATGCTTTGTACTCTTGCTTGCGTATTTAAGTGGATGAATTTATCTTTTTACAGTTACTGAGGTAAAAATATGTTAGATAGTACTCTTTACTTAGCTTTTTTAGTACAGAAAGGTGTAATAATAAAAACCGTGTTTAAAAGGATTAAAATACTTTATACTTTATAAAATACTTTGTTTATACTTTGTAGCTGAATTTACAGCAAAAAGTTTAATACCCACCAAAAACCCCAACTTTTGAAAAATGTTTTTTTTTATGCCTTTTTCTTTTCTGCATTGTTATTATATAAAGTGAGACAACAATTTTGACAGTGTCATAAATCTTACTTCACTAAGAGACTGCTTTTCTTGCAAACTTATGCTGCCACATCAAGAGAAATATATAAGTAACTTCAGTGTTCATACTAGAGCGATACATGAGCCGGCTTAATTTTCTTTGGCCAATACTTGTTTTTTCTTCTTGTATCATTATCCGCCGATTTGTGCATGCTTGGACTTTTCATAGCGGTTTCAGCAACCATGCCTTGACATCATTGAAACTTTCCTCCATTTACTATCTATTGTTCGACGGTTACTATTTTATTTCTTTATTTTTAATTTATTTGCAAATAGATGTTTCTTTTTTGTTTACCTTTAGATTTATAAAATATATGTTTTCATTTTGCTTTTATCACGTCAATGGAGGAAGAGAAAGCAATATTGATTACAGGAAGCAGCCAACAAATATCGGTAGGACATATTGGGGATCGGTTAAACTGATTTCAAAATAATTGGTTTCATCAGTCGTTCTGTAGTTGATATAAACCAGGGTATTCTCAGCACAAACTGAGCATAATAAACACATTGCAGGAGGCAACACTGGAGCAAATAGGTGCCACGGGATAGGCAACTTATACTGGTCTCTGTCTGGCTATGAAACTTTTATGGCTGCGCCACTGGAGGGGAATAAATACTTTACATATAAGCAGGTTGGTTGGGATAGCTTTTTCCTTTTTATAAACATAATTATCAGGTGCAGCGGTGGTGTGGTGCTAAAGAGCGCAACCAATGAAGGGAGGCCTAGTCCTAAATGCAGCTGCCACAAGTTAAATTCCCATCCCGTTAACCTTGACCACATTTCTTCCCACTCTATTTTAACCTAGCTTCATGTGAGCTAACTTTTAAATAAAGTAGTGCCAAACAAATTTAAAACTGATAATCAAAATCTTGTGAGACAAAAGCTAATATGATATATATATATATAAAATTTCTCATAGTTTTTAGAACTTTGAAGATGGAAAATATAATCTGCTCTGTTATACAAGCACAATCAGAGAGTGTTCAAGGTGTTCTTTGTCAGTCAATTATGCAAATGTGGGACACTGGAATGTGGCTGGAGGGGGGGTTGGGGATTCATTTCCATTATGGCTATGATTCACCAGAAAACAAATGAGACATGCTGAAAAAGCTGCAGCATAATTTTCACATGGCTGCAGATTAACCTCGCAGTAGGTGCAGCACACTGCCTAAGCTGAGGAGAAATAGAGCGGATGAAAAAAGGAATTGGATTCTCTTAAAGAGAATATAATGAAACGATTAAAGGAGCTGTAACAAACAGGGAAAATAAAATAAAAGTTGGGGAAAAGGAAGAAGAGAGAAGATGGGTTGTTTACATTTGTTTGCTCCAAGAGCTCACTGCTAAGTCAATCAAAAAAAAAAAGTAATTTCTCATCTTTTATTACAGGGGGAGTCATTTCATTGTTCATTCATCAGTAAGACCTGGAACGTAATTTGAACAGAATGCATCAAGCTACCTGCTGTGACTTCACCCCCCCAGATTTTTCCAGGAAAAAAAAAAAGTCACATCCAAATTCTTCTGCGTCCATGTTGCACTGCAACAACTAAATTACATTCTGACCTTTTAGAAGTGATGAAGACTCCAACACCATATAATATGCCCCTCCCACCCCCGTTACACACACACACACACACACACACTCTCGTCATGCTATATAAAATGAGTACTTTATGTTGACTCCTATTGACTTCCATTCATTTTGAGTCATTTTTAACCATTTCTATGCCCTAACTCTAAGCAATACCCCTAAACCTAACCATCAGCAAAAACTCAATTCAAACCAATCCTAAACCTAAACCTTAGCAAAAACTAAAAGAAGAGAGGACCAGCAAAATGTCCTGACATTGGTACAAACGGTCCTCAGTTTGATGGTGAAATAGGAAAATTGGCTCTTACTCTGATCTCAAAGGAGGAGTACACACACACCCACACAAAGTAGGCAAACATAGACACACAGGATGTGACACATAAGCACAGAGATGAGAAGAAAGAAAATCATCAGTCAATAAATGATAGCCTGCAGCAGCAGACTTACCTTTGAGGATGCTCTGGCCGTGCAGTACATCTCTGGGGACAATCACCGTGTAGAAGTTCTGAGAGAAGCCGGGTCTACAGGAAGGTTTCAAGGGCTGGCCCGCCCTACTCCCCTGGGGTAAAGGAAAAAAAGGTGGACTAATTTAGGCTTATAAGCTGATCTCACAGCTCTTTCAGACTATCACTGAATCTTAGTTTCTTTTTAACTTATTTTATGGTCCGCTTTAGACTCCAGCACTGTCAGGAGAGGTTATGCTCAAACAATGGCCAACTCTATATATTTGCTGGCCCATACAACAAAGGGAGTCTTAGATGTCTGATATATCTTCTTTAGAATCAGGAATTTGAGAGAAGAGCTGACAAGCATTAAAAAAACGCAACTATGGAAATATATGACCATGTTTTTAAAGGTTTTACATTTCATTATTCCTAAAAATATATCATTTGATGACATACTAGAGTATCTTTATCCAGCATGAAGCTGTCCAGTGTTATGCATTGTCACCCAGCTGGTGGAAAGACAGTTAGTACACACCATTTATGATGTGCAAACTAAAAAAGAATCACTCATTACTGCTAGAATAACACCCTTGAGCTGCTTGTCTGAAAGATACCAGTAGAAAACCTAACTAATTTATCATCAGCTGTGACTGTGTTAAAGTATATGGAGCAGAACAGCAAAGATACAAATTTACAATTACAACTTTAGCACAAAAAGCCATAGATAATAATATTCTACAAATTTATTCTGCAAACTTTTTCAGATTTAAGATGACAGAAACTTAACATTCCGATAATTAATATTCTATTTTAGAGGCAGAGGAAACAATTGCTTATTCTGTTTCGATGAAAACAATTTCAACATGTTTAATTCTTTGCAAAAATATGCATATAGTTACTCTGGAAACAATGAAATCTTTACTCAAATTGAGTGTGTTGCTGTCGCATCAACCAATTCCCTGTCTTTTTTATTGACAATTTATTGTTTTGTCTTTTATGACACTCTCCCTTTGCACTACTGCCGCACCCACACATATCCATGTATGACATGAATCTTATAGCTTTTATTTTGGTGACTGCCTGATCGCAACTTAAAGAGGACATTCAAATAAAAAATAAAAATGTTTGTTTGAGCAACAACTAATAAATACATTTAAACCAAAACAAAACCCATTGTTGGAAAATTTATATTTATATTCTATATTCATATATTAATTTATCCTATTTAGTCACTATAAAAGTTAATTCTAAATTTTTTAATTTTTAGTAATTTCTCTGCGGGATGATATTTGTAGACCAGACATAGCTTCTTCCCATAACAAGCCAGATTTATTCATAACATGTTACTGTTAACCAAAGTGTCTGTAATTTGTAAGTAATGGGGAACGAACGCTGCTCAGGCAGAACAGGGCTGAATACTGGGCCATAATGGCTGTATGATAAACTGTTCTCTCTTTTCAAAAATATTATAAAATAAAATGCCGACTGAGTGAAATCCATCGATCTCCTTTTATTTAACTAGGGTGAATAGTTGAATACTTTTTTTCCCACTACACCATAGCCACCCCAAAGGCTATGCTGCCCTGTGTGGTGAGCCACATTAAAACTGTTACAGCTCAATGTACAGTAATGATCAAAATATCAATATTAGGTATGTAGACTATATAAGTGGGAAACCTGACTAGGTGCACTCAAACTGTGAAGAAAAATGAACAGGTGGTGATCCTGAGTAATAATCATTATCCTAGGACCAAGCTGCTATCTTTGAAAAGACTGGGGGCATAAGTTACATGAACTGCTTCATAAAGTGCGCATCAACAAGAGAAAAGGCTAAATGTGCATTACAGCTGAAGGATCGCAGGATGCAAGCAAGACAGAGCATCTGTAACCGCAGCATGCACCTGATTCCTTGATTTGTATAGGATCTATACTATTACATTCCCACTGACTGCATATGAGCATCACTAAGCCCTGGGAGTGCTTTCTATACAAGAACCCCCTCCGTTTGAAATAAAATAATATATATCCCATCACACTGCTTGGATTATTCTTCCTCATTAGAGACTGGCCGCTAACTGAGATGCACTCCAAATTATGGCAGCGTGCGAACCAAGTTCATTTCAAGCAGCAGATGGATCAGCCTCTCCAGAATGCGCTGCCCACCGCAATAATGCTGCAGTTTATCCAGGGTGGCTAACGCTGACACTACTTACTGACTTTTTAGAAACCTATCTACTCTATCCAAAGGGATAAATCGGTAAAACATAAACAAAAGCTAAGAAGAATCAATTTTCAACCATATTAATTCATGGTTCCACTACAGCCATCATGTGGAGGCGCAGCACTATACGGGACAAAGTGAGCCGTTCGTGGCCACTTCCGAGCGCTCCTGCAGCGCGCTGCAAAGCTCCAGCAGGCTTTACAGCAGTGCAGCACTTCCTTCTCACTGTCAGCGGAGCAGACAAAAAGAGATCAACTCATCTTACCGAGGATGCGCCAACAAGTAAGGTGCACGCCAACAGGACGCAGCCAGCGATCATCTTTGCAAACAAAAACCCAAGATCTTAGAGAGGAAAAAAATAATCACTGGGAAAAGGGAGTGATCTCTTCCCGTCAATAAACGCCTCAGTAATTCCTGGATTCCCGTGTTTTGTTTTTGTTTTTTTTTTCCCTTTTCCGCTGCTGAGCAGGAGAACGTCCCTACTTGTCTGGCGCAAAAGTGCCGCTGAGACAGAGATGCTGCGCTCGGTCCAGAGGAAGCCGGTGCCCATTGGATGACAGCGTCACTACAACCCCTCCTACCCTCGGCGGCGCAGGCAGGCTGCGCCTCCAATAACTCCCTGTGATGATGATGCCACTTCAGGGATCTATTGGTTGAGAAATGCCTTTTTCCAGGCTATTTAGATTCATATTTTGACTTCAGATGGAGCAGAGGCGGTTCTGGCTGTGTGAGTGACAAGCAGCCATCCGAGTCCTTTCATGAGTCCATCAGCTAAATGCAGTCTATTTCACACCCCAGTTACCCTCTCTGCCCCTGATCCAGGGTATATAGGTATAGCAAGTGAGAGTTAATAACTTTTTATTAAAGCTGCCACGATAGAAAATCTGCAGATATGACTTTGATTGTGACTGAAAGCTTTAGATGAAATAAAGTACAATGTAACAAAATCCTTTGAAATCACAGCACTATATTTCCATTTGGCTCCCACTTGATTTGCTCCATGCTTCTAAATTGATTACAGATTAAATAATTATGATAATTAATTCCATTTTGTGGAATAATATTAAAGGGTTCATAGAATGCAAAATCGAGTTTACATTGTCATAGATGAATAACGATAGTTCAGTGGGTGAAATGGATGTACAGAGAAGTTCAAACCCCATCGTCACCTCCTTTCTCTGCAAATCTCACAATTCTAAACTTCCAGCATAAAACAGGTGAATCCAAACGAAGCACCGAATTGACGTCAATTAGGGGATGTTGCCTTATTTGGTTCCGGCCAATACGTTTGTCACGCCCCAAAATTGACATACAGACCAGCCCACTGATTCACTGGCCCAACAATATGAATAGAGGTAGATGTAAGACACCAGTTTAGCTGTTTAGCTTACAGTTGGGTTACTTCTACAAGAATTACAAAGCAGGCAGTTTCTTTATAGAAAATTAGCCTGAACACAGGCGTAAATGCAGTGTTCAAGGCTGCACTGAGGCTGCACTGAACCCAACCCGGTGACGGTATGCTTTCCGCCACCTGCCTTACTGTACTTCCCTCCGCCTGCCTTACCCGCAGGCCACCGGCATCCAGAAAACCATCATTGGATCAGGTTCAGTGGCTCCGTCCCCAGCTTGCTCCCTGCCCCCGACAGCTCGGTTTGAAAGCCCGGTGTGTTTTGACTACTAGCTGCACTGTAGTTGACCAAAATCTCTGATGATTTTGAAATTCTTTCCAGACATTTTTTTAGGTTTGAAAAGTTGGACATGTCTGGAAAAAAGAGGACGTCTGGTCACCCTACTCAACAATTTTGATGTTTCAGTGAGTGAGAGCTTGTTGCTATGATGCGTCTTTGCTCAGCAGCTTCGCTTATTGTAAACCAATCAATCAGCGTGCAACTCGTCTAAATATTAATGAGCATACCATAAAGGAAGAAAACCTGTGTTCTGGGTTAGACCAGGCTTGCATTAGGGCTCATAGAACAGCAAATATGCCATTTTCAGCCCAACCAAAGTTACACACCCTATTCAGAGACCTGAAGGACCAGCACCAAATACCCTATATAATCATTCTATGACCCCTTTAATAAACTTAAGATTTCCTGTTAATCTTTTTGCAAAATTGCGTTATTGTAAAAGGCCTTTCCTAAACAGTCCTTCCCTAAAAAAAGTTATCAGACTAAGTCTGATTATAATCGTATCAGTTGGGTTAATATTCTTGCCATACTCTTCAGCAATAACCTCCCTTTAAACCTTGTTGTGTTTTTTTCCACTTTGTGCTGTGGAAGAAAACTAGCCTAATATCTAATGTTTGTTTACCTACCATTTGTCAGGGTTTGGTTGTGGTTTTTGATGATCCAAATGCAGAGGCAGGGAGGCAGAGGTGAGTTCCTTGAAGATTTAATTAATGATTACAAACAATTCAGGCAAGAATCCAAAAATCCAACATTAAAAATGCAAAACAAACCAGAACCATGGAGACATCAGTGGAAAAGAACATGTAGAGTCAGGGAAAGGTGAGGAGAGATGAGGAAAAGAGGAGCCAGCACTGAGGAACTGCACAAGGAGAGTATTTATGGGAGACTGAACAAAGAGAGGACTGACGAGCAGATTGGGAGCAGGTGTGAAGAGAGGAGTCTAGAAAGGAGCTAAGGAAAAGGAGACCAACACAAGAAGGCAACAAATAAAAACCTAAGAACTCAAATATAACGAGAAAATACAACAAAATAGGAATTAAACCAATAAAACTATAAAACATGGAGCAAAGTAAAACTGAATACTCAAAAGAAAACATAACAGAACCAAGACTGTGGCACCATTACTGTATATCTAAAGATTTGTTTCCTTCTTATTTCCAAAATAGCTTAAGCTTAGCCTTGTTTTAAGCTTCTTTTGTCTTCTAAGTCACTGTCCACTTTAACTTTTTACTTAAGTAAAACGAGCCACCCCCTTCCCAACAGCATCAATATCCTGCCAGGATATTGCCATTGAAAACATTCCTGTTGAAGTCACTTATTTCGGCATTACTCTACATGCTGATGGAACCAACTCCAACCAATCTAACATGGAGGTTCAAATTAATCACTCAACCACTGGTTAACCAGAGAAACTTATATATTTGGCCAAATTCTGTTGGTTAAAAATGAAGGTCTTTCAAAATTAATTTACCCATGTCAATCACTACATGTTAACTAGACTCGCATAAAAAAAGTCCATTATTTTATATATAATTTTATTAGGAAAAACAGAACACACTATATTAGTAAAGCAAGAATAATTCAGGCTTAACAGCTTGGAGGTTTAAAAGCATTCCATTTGAATCCACAATCTGCATGTTAACAATAAAAGCATTTTTTCTCTCATCCCAATTAAATGTGGTTCCTCATACCGAAGTGTCTGATTAAGACTGTTGGTGATCTTAAGTTTTTGCTAAAATGTGAATTTAAAATATTCAACCCAGCTGTTAAAACCTTAAGCAATTTAAGTTTGAAGTGGAATTGTGTGTCTTTTGTGGAGAGGAAAGCGAAACAAGTCATCAAATGTTTATTTCTCTGCCTCTTTACTCTAAAGTTCTGGGAGGAAGTTATCACCTGGTTTAACATAGTTCCTGTTCTTGTTTTAGACCTCCAACAAACTTTGCTATATTTTGAAGCTAGTAAATATTATCTTCATTTTAGGTCAATACCAAAAAAAGAAATGGAAAAGCTGTAACTGAATTAAAATAAATAATCTAAGGAATTATTTTCATTGTCTGGAACTTTTGTCTGAAAGAAACCCTTCAATATCAATGTCTTACTCTAGAATGTCACTAGCAAAAAAAAAAAAAGCTTTACGGTGTAATGCCAATGTTATCCCACTTTGTTTGTTATTGTTGTCTCTACTGTTTTATTATTTTGTTTTGTAGCTACTGCTGTGGTTCTAAATTTGATATTGTATGTAATTGAATTCACTACCAGATAGATGAAAAAGTGAAGCAGGAAAAAAAAAAAAAACCATCAATCCAAAAGAGGAAGAATAAAAATTGTGCTTTCAATAAAAAAAAAAAGAAAAAGAAAAGAAAAATAATAAGTAACGGTAACACTAATGCAAGGAACAGTGGGTGGGGGTGTTGAACATATTGGTAAAACTGTACAAAATGATAAAAAAAAAAAACTGTTCACACTATTCCCTTAACTATGTTGACCTGTCTAACAGCTTAATAGTGTTGACATTTTCAGACCCTGAAATCTGTGCCTTAATTTACATATCTGAGAGTTCATCACAATTTAATCCCATCAAAAGGAATATGACAGTATTACAGCGTCAATCAGCACAACCCAGAATCCGCCTTGTCACTGCCATTCACTTTACTTTGCCTCATGTTTGGCACCAGCAGCTGCAGTGTTGGAAAAAATAAATCTTTGAACACATTATTTTCCTTCAGTCTCGTCCCTTCCAACAGTATCTTCAAAACAAACCGCTCAAGGGTGATAATTAAGAAGTACTTCTAGGCTAGCTGACACTGCTCAGTGGGTGTTTCTGTCCACAGGGTGGGATTTCTTTAAGGTCAGAGATATGAAAAGAAGAAAAAATACACTCCACTCATCCGTCTTCCGGGCATTGTGTTTTTGCTTTTATTATACCCTAAAAAACTTGGCAGAGCCAGACTGTGACAAGTGTTTGAAGTGAAGGCCTGCACGATAAACAATGACTCTCAATAAATAATGTCACATTTCCTCACATGAGACCAACTGTTCACAGGAAAAAGGGTTGCAAAAACAGAAAAACTCCAGCAGAGAAAATGACAGAGTGTGATGAGTGGTATGTCCTGAAGAGTTTGTAATTCTCACAGTCAGTTGGTCTCCCTTAAAACCTGATAAAGAGACATTTATAATTAGTGTTCCAGAAAAGTGTTCTTATTCATTATAATGGTAAACATTTCTGTTATTTTACCACCCCAAACTGTAATATATTCAGATTTTATGTGATTGATGGAATTAATGAGTGCTTAATTTTGAAGTGACCTTAAAACAGGAATTTATATAATCAATATAAGTGTTGGATGCATTTGTATGCAGAGTCCTTTACTCTGATAACCCTCAATAAAATGCAACCATCTGCCTTAAGAATACACCAAATTAGTAGATGTAGTCAACATGTATGCATTTTTTCCAAAGGATAAATACAACTGTGGCTTTGAAAAGAGAAACATAATCCTAGATGGCCCCCAAAAGCCATGGTTACCCTTAAAAGCTGCAGAGGTCAACAGCTCAGTCAACATGATAAATATTTTTTCTGTAAATCAGATATGTAAGAATAGCAATTGCCACTCCTGAAAGAAAAAATATCTTCTTTGCATTTGTTGCAAGCCATGTTGAGGACACAGCAAAGATCTCAATATTTTGGTTGACATTGTTGTGCTTTAAGAGGTTATAAATAAAACTGGATTCAGTGCAAAAGACTAGACAAACACCCTCCCCACAGTGATGCATGG